GCTCCACTCTCTCCTCCTCCCCTTTCATCTGCTCCTGCGTGCTCTGATCAGACATGTCGCTCTCCCAGAGCTGCAGATTCAATGTCATCCTCTGCAATAAATTCTTCTGGAAGGAGGGGCAGGTGTCCACGTAGTTGTGATTGGGGCCGGCCCATTAAAGCTCTTTCTTTTACACATATGAGTCTCCCTGGATTTGCTTCTCTAGTCTACCCAGACTAACACAATGGCCAAAGAACGGCAGCAGCAGCAGCAGAAATAAGAACCAGAGCACAAGACAGAATGGTGTGCTTCCTGATCCACCCAACAAGTAGAGCTGAGTACCATCTTGCAGGAGGCTTGCTTGTGGAATAGAGTGCCTCTAGCCACTTATTGAGAGAGGTAGGTTGGCTGACTCTCAGACTTAAAGAGTTGGGTGCCTTTGGAATGAGTAACACGTCTATTGAGCATTTTATTAGCAGCACTAAAGGAGCTTGTAACATTTCCCAGGCATGGCAGAGACCGAGGACAAGAAAGCTTTGCCTGCAGGCTTTGTTGAGAAAGGCTATCCTAACAAAGAACTGTGTCTTACATATTTTTGATCCTGAATTGTAATCTGCTAACTTTTCTAATAAAAGTCCATAATCATGGGTACGGTCTCTGAACCCTGTATGATCAATTATCAAACTCAGCTGAGTATTGTGGGAGGTACAGACTGGTGTCAGAGTTGGTAAAACAGGGTAGAAGGGTGGAGGGTGGAGGCATGTCTGACCTCTGCCTCACAGAAATCAGCTCTGGGCAACTGAGGCTGACCACAGTGATTCTCTCCCCCTTGTGAAGTCAGAGGACATGAGGGACCACCTCCATGTCATATTTAAAACCAGTTACTAAGACTATTATTCAAATTTATGCACCATTAAACTCAAGGATGAAGAGATTGAAGACTTCTTTTTTTTTAATTTAATAAATCATTTTACTGGGGGCTCTTACAGCTCTTATAACAATCCATACATCAATTTTATCAAGCATATTTGTATGTATGGAGATAAGAGATTTCTATCAACTTCTTTTTGATCTATTGTTTAAAGAAATATTAATTTATATCGTCACAGAACAATTTTTTTTCTCTTCCCCTCCCATCCCTG